ACTTTAAGTCATTAAAAAAACTGGCAGTTTTTTTTTTAGTAAAAAAAGACCAAACCTGATGCAGCTTCCCAAACATAGTTCAAATTAGATATATTAAGTACCAATTCCCTAGAAATCAAAAAGACTTATGCAATAAAAATATTTTACCCAAAGATAAGAGCAAAGTATATCTATAAAACTGATATATAAATTTTACCATATCTTCCTTTCTGAGCACCACAGACAATCCAACTACTGGTGACATTCCTGACGGGACGGTAGACATCTGTTGCTTTGTTCTATTTGGTGGTACTAACTGTATATACAATATGTAACAGGCATTACAAATATGACAAACATATAAAATATTATACACTTTATCTTTTTATTATGCTGGCTCTGTGAATGACTTATATATCTGAAAGGTCCATTAAGCCCCCCAATTTTATTTATATTTTTGATGTCCTGTTTAAATTTCTACAAAAGTACTTCATCGTTAACTTCTTTTGCTGTTTCTTTATTAGTACAGTACTAGTAATTTAGTATTTGGTATGGAAGTTGAAATACCTGTTTGTTTACATTTTGCTTCTTTTACGACATACTTATTCATATTCAGCGCTACTTACTTCCTGTGAATAGCATTTAATAAGCTTTAAATCATATATTAAAATATAGCTAAAGACATTTTTGCCTCTTCTTAAAAAGAAAAAAATATTCATTTCTGAGGCACAATGAGCCTTTAACCAGTATACTATTTGCTGCAATGTTGTGCCTACTTTTATCATTGAATCCCTTGATATAACAACACACATTCCAATATACAAATCAGACAAGTTCATTAAACATAACTAGAGATGTAGAGATGTAAAACTTCATTTAAAAAAAACATATATTCTCATTGAAGTCTATCAACATATACAATCATGTGGCATACATTTTAATATATCATAATAAACCATGTTACCTCAAAAGAACCCTCCACTGACACAGGCTTCATGTATATCTCTGTACTGCTTTTCTTGAGAAGGTTAATTAGGGGAATCTCTGCACGCCCCAGTGACTGTTCACCACAACATAAATGCACCTACAATTGTAATAATAAATGTTTAGAGATCATAATCTAATTAATAACATAGGCAATATTTTGTTAAGATGTATTGTATTAAAAATATAAAACAAATAGCTAATCAACAAGATAAGGCAATTCATATAATCAACAAAATAAGACAATTTATACAATCGACAATATAAAACAATTATTCCATTGAACAAAATTAGACAATTTATCCAATAAAGAAAGAAAGACAATTTATCTTATAAATAAAATATGAAAATTATTTGTACATTAAAAAAGAAACAATATGACTGTTATAGAAATTCTTGCTTAAGAATTTTATTTCCGGGGAAAGTCCTATATTCTAAATCATGCAGCTTACTAATCCGAAGCTTTAATCACTTGGCTATGCCACCACTCAATTTAGAATGTATTCATACCTGTAGACCAGGTTGACTGGCCAGAAACATCCGTATAGCTTCAACACTACTTCGTAGCCGGACCGAGGCTCTCTCTGCTGGAAAACTTGGTTTGATCAAATCATGGAATACCTCATTTGTAACATCATTGCCAAACAAGGAAAAGTAAAAGAAATACCCAGCCCCTTGAGGTAATGGCTGTGTGCTTGGTATTAACTGAAAATATTATTTTTCAACTGATATATCATTATGATATAAAACAAGAGAACTGCATGCAATGTTTACACTCCTCTGTTAAAAGAACCACTTTTTACAAAAATTCAAAGTTCAAAAGGGGCATTTCTCTAAAAATATATCAGAAGTATGCCCTTTGTCTAACAACTGCACCTTGTCAAAAATAAGCAAGTATTTCAAGTTTCATATTGATTACATTTGAAATGTTTGAAAAAATGGCAACAGCAACAACACAGAGATCATAATAGCTTGACTCTGCCTTCAAAATAAACAAGTTAATAATGTTAAGAAAGATATTTCCAATTAGTGTACACATTCTTGTCAAACACATTGCATATATTTTTTATGCTATTAATGATATAAATATTTAAATAGTAGGATTGATAGTTACCAAGATATCAAATGACCAAAAATGTTTTGAAAGTGGCATTAAAGACAAACAATTAACAGGGCTGGGAATCAAAACTGCGTCGTATCCTACAAAATGTAAACAAACGCCGCCATCTTGGAACGAAAAACGTATGTTTTTGTTTATAAATCTTTTTGTTGGAAATGACTGAAAACAAGATATATGTATTAACACGCTACACTACTTTCCGCTTCGTTCGGTATATGTTGCTTGCACAACTATTTTGTAAAACAAAAGTTATAGCGAACTTGCAACTCGAAGCGAGGCAGAATTTTTATGAAAATGTGTGGATACGACGAAGTTCATATTGCTTTATCTATCGTATTTGCCTTCAAATCAATTATATATTTGTTTCAGAGTTCACCATAAACTTCGAAATATAATTTTGCATCATTTACTAAAATTTTATTAAAAAGAGATGTTTATTTTCTAAGAAAATATTGATTTTTACGAAAATGATACGACGCAGTTGAAAATAAAATATGATACGACGCAGTTGTATTTTTTGGCAGTCTTTTCAACAGGGATAAGTTTGTCAATATATTTCTATTTTATGAATAATCACTTGCGCTAGATAAAATCCCAGATCATTTGCGGTGTAAAGCAATGTTCTGTTGATTATTTAGAATACAATGTGTCATATCCAATATAACATTTAATTTGAAAGTTGACATTGCGGAAGCTACTTTTCAGTTAAACATGAACATGTTACCTTATTGATCATAATATCTGAAATAATTTCTTATATTTTCCTGTATGTTCAATATTATCCCTAATTTTTTTCGCAAAAAAAAATGTAGAAATCTATTAACTCAAATTCATTTTGGCTAGCTAAGCTCTAAGTTAACTGTGGTTCTGCATGTTCTGGGTATTGACTGCTTTTTTGTGGTTTCTTTTCAAACTTTCACTCTACACATTAGCTTTACTAGGGGCGAGGACCTCAGGTGCGCCTCTGTGCATTATTTCAGGCAAAATGTTGTACCTGCAGAGAACCGTCGACATTTTGAAACTAGCTTGATAGGTTTTCCACACAAAAGAATAAAAAGTCCCAGGTGGTTTTCGAATTCATAGCAGTTCAGTTCAAGTGATTTGAATTCAGTAAACATAAACAGCTCGGCCTCGGTCGGACACACCTGTCTGATTTGTTTTTTCAACAAAATTTGTTAACGTCAGCTGTTCAAATAAGCAGCTTTTTTTATTAACTTCTGGCGTGAAGTTTTAAGCTTATAAATATTTGAAATAATTATAAAGAGAATAAAATTTAAATTTCTTATTTCGGTATTAATAGCAGAGAAATTTTTAATGTAAACAGGGGGTAATCCTCTGTGAAGTCATTTTCTGAAACTTTTGTTTAAGTTTTCAGGCAATTCATTATCAAATAAAAATCACACTTTAGTATGAAGGTATGTTAAGATGTCATGTCTCTAGTCTGTTGAAAATTCGATACGATAATCTGACATTTTCTGTTCAATATTGTGAAAACTTAATAATTCTTCAATACTGTTGAAAGATCATGTCTGCCTATATCTGTATCAAATTTATCGGTGCATAGCGAAAAATACCTTTGCAAAACGGACACCTTTTTTACAAAATAATTTGTAGTTGTATCATATGTAATTCGATTTTGAAAAGTTTTTTGATGGAGAAGAATGATACTCAAGTGCAAGTATAGAAAATACATTCCGTAGACATTTCCTCATCGGCGATAAAGAAACGCAGGGGTAAAGTTCCGCGGCGCTGAACATATATAAAATGACTAAACGGAACGCATAACCTACTTACAATAATAAATTGTAGCTTAACCATTTATAATATTATTTTAAAAATTTAATGTTCAGTTTCAAATAATAAAGCTCATCTGTCCTCGTCGATTATTAAGAAAATGAATACAATAAAATTGGCACGTAAAAGAAAAAGTAATAACGGAATTGACGGAAATTATTGCTCATTATGTACAAGTAACAACGGTAGGCATGCAATTTGCGCATAGAGACCTTTTCAAAATTTGTAATTTTTTCTCTTTTTTTTTTAAAGAAAAAAGTCATTCCTGATTAATACAGGGTCCAGTGGAGGTTACACTGGAATATTGAATTTTGTATCAAAAATAGTAATCACTCCCATTTCGAACTCACGTGAACAAGTTTATTAGCATGCTAAGGCAACAGTAGAACACGTTGTCATATGGGTGTGCGATCAAGTGTTTCAATGTATATTGCATTTGATACAGCTTTTCGGAATTTGTAGATGATTATGATTAGTACTAAAATGCGACCGAAAAATGCAGCCTTAATAGAATTGTATTACATTTCCATTTTTATGAAACCAATGAGTGACCTCTGTTTTTGACTTAAGTTGTAGACAAGAAATGTTGTAGGACGTTATTGGCATACCTAGCACATAATTTAAATAGTTTAACCAATATTCAGCCTGCAATGAAAATACAACTGCGTCGTATCATATTTTATTTTCAACTGCGTCGTATCATTTCGTAAAAATCATTATTTTCTTGGAAAATAAACATCTCTTTTTAATAAAATTTTAGTAAATGATGCAAAATTATGTTTTGACGTTTATGGTGAACTCTGAAAACGAGTATATAATTGATTTGAAGGAAAAACAATAGATAAAGCAATATGAACTGCGTCGTATCCACACATTTTCATAAACATTCTGCCCCGCTTCGAGTTGCAAGTTCGCTATAACTTTTGTTTTACAAAATAGTTGTGCAAGCAACATATACCGAACGAAGCGGAAAATAGTGTAGCGTGTTAATACATATATCTTGTTTTCAGTCATTTCCAACAAAAAGAGTTATAAACAAAAACATACATTTTTCGCTCCAAGATGGCGGCGTTTGTTTACATTTTGTAGGATACGACGCAGTTTTGATTCCCAGCCCTGATTAAATGCATATTTTACCTGTGTAAGATTAGTCGCTGTTGCTATGGTAACTGATAAGACAAATTGTTCAGTACACTGTTTAGCTGGACCAAGCTGATAGTACCCCTCATCTTCATTTAAAATAGGCTTTAACAATCGTGTGTCTTTGTCCTTTACAGGTGATTCTGTCTCTATTACTGAAATGAACGAGAAAATATGAAAACTTTTACTCAAAACTATATCCATGTAAAGCTTTGAATGCATTATGCAAAAAATGATGCAAATTCACAAAACATCTACCCCATTTCAGAGAAAGGTATGCATATTTTGACATGTTTAAGGGATTTTCTGTGGAGACTTAGTGCCTAAGGCTAGATATAATTACTTTATTAAATCTAATTTCTTTATTTGTACAATTGATAACTGTTTTATTCATTAGAACAATTTTCAAGGTTTCATAAAAATTAACAAAAATTGGAACAGTGCTTCTTTTACAATTTTCACCATGCCACCATTGAAGAACCTAGCCAGCTAACATCTCTTTGCAGACATATCAGTTTATTATACTTTGTGTATAGGATGTTACTTTTAAATCTGTCAATTAAACTCTTAAAAATTCCTATAATTCCAATAACTGACAAGTCCATGTTCATACTAGGACATTTCTACAACAAAAGTTAAAGGAGGTAAAGAATAATATGATTTTGCAAGAAAAAAACATTGACCATAAAATTATTACTGATACAAATTTTTAGTTTTCTTACATCTTGGTGGTGCCTCTTTTGCCTTAAAGCTTGTGTTGACTTCGGCAGATTTGTCCTCGTCTAGATACAATCCAAGCCTGATCTCTGGTTTGTTTTTATGATACTTTCCCAATAACAACGGGTACCATTTTGTTGTCTGAAGTAGTAAAATAATAATTTCATCATAAATACAACAGATCTGATTTTTCTGAACGATGAATATTTTAAAAAGTACATCTGATTAAACCAACTAAAGAAATTAAAATTTATAGTTCATCATTCACACGCTGAATTTCTAAAATGGACCTGATGAGTGTCCATTTTATTTTAACTGTCAATAAGCAATTTTACAAAATTTTGGGATGTCAAGATAAAAATATAAAGTTAGTCAAACAACAGTATAGAGCCTGGTCAGGTTGCACAGATATGCTCAGCAGCTGGCTGGCTGGCCTGACTCAATACTGGTGGCAAAGGCTAACCCATTTCAGTTCCTGCAGGGTAAGGTTTAAAAAAGAAACACATTATAACTTATATCATCTTCTCATTAAAAATGTTCAATGACTTAAACAAAACAAGAGCTGTTGGTACAACAGCATAATTGACTATTCTCAATGCATGATGGAAAAATAAGAGCCTGGATAATGTAGAACTTTGTAAGTTCAGAAAGGGCCATAAGTCTGTCAAAATCCATGTAAGTTAGTTATATAGGCTGTGAATGGTGACCTTCTATTATGCTCTCAAATAAGTGTGTGAAGTGTCCACCTATTTATAATTAGTCACTTTAGTTGTTGATAAGATTCCAACTTGCACACAAAAACTAAAGTGTGACACCTACGCTGGGGTGAGTATAACAGCTGTCACTATTCTTTGAATAGTCATGCCAAAAATTAACAAAACAAAATTTGTGCAAAGCATAATAGATTCCTCTGCAGTATTTTCATCCAATGATATTTCTTTTTAATTTTTACAAACTTGATATCATACTTGTTTATTATGAGCAGATCTAAGATCCAGCACAACATATCCTATAGCTTCCTTCACAGAAGTGTTTGTATCCACAGCATAACATTGTATCTTTATGGATGTTCTCTGCAGCCTATGCTGTTGCAGCCCTTTCTTATCTAGCTCCCAGGCCAGCTCTTGTGTTATATCTGGTGTCTCAACATGATCTACAGGGTCTGTAGACAACAGTTCTCCATCAAACTTTGCCTCCGCTATCAACTGGTGTCTTGGTCTCCTTGGAAACCTGCGACCTGTAAATGCAGACAAAATAAAAATGTATTGATGATGAATATAAAATTCAATTCAACTGCGAACCTTACCAGTCTGGTAAAATTTTTCGTCGATTTTTTTCCAGCTTTATTGGTGGAGGAAGACCCCAGGTGCCCTGCAGGACATTATATCAGACACCAGCGGGCACCTACCTTCCGTAAGCCAGCTGGATGGCTTCCTCACATGAAAGATTACGACCCGTGTGAGGATCGAACCTACAGCGGTGAGGGACCTGTGATCTCAAGTCAGCCACCTTAACCACTCGGTCACGGAGGCCCCTAACAATACATCTATCTATCTATCTTCCATAGTCAAACCCCTGCTGGGGACCTAGGCTTGACGCGCGTCAACTGACAAGAATGTTAATAAAAGAGTTGAAATAAAAGAATATAAAAGTAATGAAAATGAGTATATTGTTAAAAACAGGTTAAAAACAGAATAGGTTTTTTAGGGAGTTTTATGTTCAATCCGGCTTACAGCCAGACTGAACTTGGGGCCAGACAAGTTTATGATATCGGGTGGTAAAGCATTCCAGTGGACTATTGTTTTTGGGAAAAATGAATATTTATAGTAATCAGTCTTATTTTGGACTTGTTGGAATACATGGAGATGGGACGATTTCGAGACATTTCGGCCCCAAGACGTATTGGCCCCAAACTACCCAAGACGTTTCGGCCCCGGACGTTTCGGCCCTTTACCAAATCGGCCCCAGAATAAGTACTGTATTTTAAACCGATATATTAATAGCATTTCAATAAAAAAATTAATCAATTTATATATACATATATATATATCTAATCATTTTGTATAAAAACTAGATTATTATAGTAGTAGGGGGGAAGTAATCAATACAAACAGAACAGAACATAAACTTTATTTGAAAAAATATGATACACAAACAAACAATTATTAACCATATATAGATAAATTTACAATACCGCCAATTAGCATAAAGTATAAACAGTTAATTAGTTACACTTTGAAAAAAATACGTATAGTTTAATTAAGATCAAAAGATAATGTATTCTAAGGAAAAATTGTAAGTTACTTTCTTAATCCAGAAGTTTTAGTGGTTTGTTTTATAGGTAAGTAACCGGCCTTTATTGTTTGTTACACCTTTAAAAACATTAACGTATATCTAAATGGTTCAAGAGATCAAAAGATAATAAATAATTATTCAAAGAATTAAAGTGTCATAATTGTTTAATTGTAATTAAATAAATTGTTGTTAATCAATCAAGCAATACACTATAGTGGGGCCGAAACGTCTCGCGGAAAAGGGCCGAAACGTCCAGGGGCCGATTTTTCGACTGGGGCCGATTTGGTTTGGGGCCGAAACGTCCTGTTTGCGATGGGACAGCATGCCCATTCACGCACTAAAGTGCGTAATTCACCTCAAAATTCTATATGCACACATAAAAATTGTAAGTAGGGGGTACATGCACGCAAAGTAAATTCGCCAGAATGAAAGTTTGGGATAGCCTAATTTGCATATCAACTAAATGTTGTTGCCATCTACCAATGGTTAGGAACAGTCTAAACCCGGTCACAATTGCATATCTGCTTTCAAAGTCATCTCAGTCTGAATCGTAAATATTTTAGTCATGTTTTGACGTCACATGTACTGTCTTAAGAAAAAAAGTTTTGGATATTTACAACTTCCAAAAAGTATTTTGTGTTCTCCAATGATCAGCAAAAAGTTAGTCACTTTATTTTTTAACAACTACCTTCAATTGTGAGCTTTATGTATGTCATATTGAGATTTGGAAATAAATGTACATAATTTGGGATATACAAAATTTTGGTTATGGGTAATAATCGTATGGACTTAACAAAATACCAGTGATTGTAATGGCTGTTATATTGCTACCTTAAGTGATGAGTTTGTGTCTGTGTTAGTGGGTAGTAATACTTAGTGAAACAGCTGTTCATTAATATCATGTTGACTAAAATGTTCTTACAAACAAAAACATGTTTAAACTTATGACTATGTGTACCCCCAGATTTTGAAATGTACCCCCAATTTTCAATGACAGGGGGTACATGTACCCCTACATTTGAAATTGAGTGGGCATGCTGTGGGATGTTCTAGATGATCCTGTAAGAGGGATGATATACTTTGGGAAAGGGATAGCCACCTGGTCATGCAAGATGTTGTGAAACATGACCAGGCGTTGGTCCATACACCGAAGGTCAAGGCCCCTTCCATTGTAGGGAAGTCATCATGTCAGTGACACTTGACATACAACTGAAGTCATGTTTGACCCACCTAGCAGCCCTTCTCTTGACGGACTCTATGCAAACAGGACGTTTCGGCCCCAAACCAAATCGGCCCCAGTCGAAAAATCGGCCCCTGGACGTTTCGGCCCTTTTCCGCGAGACGTTTCGGCCCCACTATAGTGTATTGCTTGATTGATTAAAAACAATTAATTTAAATACATGTACAATTAAACAATTATGACACTTTAATTATTTGAATAATTATTTATTATCTTTTGATCTCTCGAACCATTTAGATATATGTTAATGTTTTTAAAGGTGTAACAAACAATAAAGGCCGGTTACTTACCTATAAAACAAACCACTAAAACTTCTGGATTAAGAAAGTAACTTACAGTTTTTCCTTAGAATACATTATCTTTTGATCTTAATTAAACTATACGTAATTTTTTCAAAGTGTAACTAATTAACTGTTTATACTTTATGCTAATTGGCAGAATTGTTTTGTGTCTTGCTTCTTAATCATTCAAATAAAATATTCTCTATATATGGTTAATAATTGTTTGCTTGTGTATTATATTTTTTCAAATAAAGTTTATGTTCAGTTCTGTTTGTATTGATTACCTTCCCCCTACTACTATAATAATCTAGTTTTTATACAAAATGATTAAAAATATATATATATAAATTGATTAATTTTTTTATTGAAATGCTATTAATATATCGGTTTAAAATACAGTACTTATTCTGGGGCCGATTTGGTAAAGGGCCGAAACGTCCGGGGCCGAAACGTCTTGGGTAGTTGGTGGCCGATACGTCTTGGGGCCGAAACGTCTCGAAATCGACTCTATCTGGTCAATGAGAGTTCCTGTGTAGGGGGACCAGACTGTGGTGCTGTACTCAAGCCGGGGCCTGACAAGTGTCTTGTATGCGGTTGACTTTAACCTTTCTGAGTGAACTTTGATGTTTCGGCATAGAAAACCAAGTGTTTGATTTGCCTTTGTTGTTGCACCTCTAATTTTAAATGATGAAAGGCATGTCTCCTTACACAGTAACTGGCTCTAACTTTGATGAGCCACGATTCACAAATTATTTTTCTAACAGGTGAATTTGGTGGTCAAAATTGAAATTGACACAGGGGGTATCATGGAAAGAGGATTATCAATGACAATTTCTAATAACACACTTATATACATGCCATAATGATAAATAAAAAAAGTGCCTTTAAGTTTATACAACAAACTGAAAATTTTCAAGATTGGACATGTCTTAGCAATGTTTGTGGCTTTAAAAATAATATCGAATTTATTTCTATAAAATTACCTTCTAACACAGATACAACTACAAGAAATCTACCCTTTTCAACCATAACTGTCTTTTAACTACTAACAAATGAAAAGAAAACAATGAAATATTGTTTGACAGTTAAAGTGTTTTGAAAACAGCCGCCATGTTTTTGTTTACGCATCAATGGATACCTAATTACCACAAAGAAGAAAAAGTAACATAAAGTTTCAAAAACTACTCTTTTTTAAAATAGATAATGACCTGTTTCAACAAATAATATTATTACGGATGTTAATAGGAAAAAGAACCCATTTAATGTTCGAGATTTGTTTAGAAAATTGTCCAGAATATTAGGTAAATGTTGTTCAAAGTTTGAACACAGATTTCCTTTTACACAACACATAAGACTAAAAGTTCTATGCTGTAAATTTTTCAGTTCTATCCATACTGTTTGGTTCACATTATGGGACCTTACATTAAAATACTAATTTAAGAAATCCGCCAATATACTCATTTGTGCATTAAAAAGCCTAGAATATGGTCGGGTAGGTATGCATATTTTGAAATAAAATATTCTTAAAATTTAAACTATATGTTTATTTAAAGATCCTGTATGTTGTGATCAAAGTGGTAAAAAAATCTGGAAACAAAGTGGTCCCTCGGAAGCATAAATCACAACAAAATTAGAAGAGAATTGCAGACTCGGTTTGATTGAGTATATACATGACGGATAATGAATATGTGCAACATCCCTCACGCACCCTAGCACCGGCTTGAGCGGTACTCAATTCTCAACACTTAATAGTGCTGGCATCAATAATCCCGAAGGACCAGAAAAATATAACAACACTGAAGTGAAGTACAGGTAAACCACACTAAGTGAAATTATATATATGTAGCTTACATAATTATGCAATTAAACAATTTTCAAACATCGAAGAATATGTAAAATATGTACTGCAAATATTTGTGCATATTACATATAATCATTAAAATATATGCATTCATTTCTTATTGTAAAGTTTGACTTAAACGTTATAGAAAATAAATATTTTATTACCTGCCTTTATTTACATTAAATTCGGTAATATCTTTATAAATAATGCTTTTTGGAACCTACAATATTGATAAATCTTAATTTGATCATCATATTTATGATTTATAATCATAAAAAAATTGTGTTACAGGATCTTTAATTGAAAGTGATCACCATTTCGTATTAAAATAATTGTTTGAAATTAATGTTAAATAAAAGTTTCTTGACAAAAAAAAAGTCACTGCGGAAAGAGTCTTATTACCAGTATTTTGAATACATCCTAAATTTAAGTAACAATGATGCCCAAATTGGCAACAAAGCAAACACTAAAAGCTGTACTCCTTAATTAGACATTCAAAACAAGAAACATCAACATCTGCTGTTCCCCAATTTAAGTAAGAAAATAATTTTAACCGGCCATGATGATTTCATATACAGCTTTAAATAAGCAATTTCAGTCAGTGTTTAGCCCATAATCTCCCCTATCCATTGCACCCTTATGTAAAATAAACGTTAAATATGGTCAATTCGTCCCTTTTATGCCAGATATCCAAATAGGAGTAATTTTAAGGGATTTAGAAACTTTTCAATAACCTAAACCCTCATAAAGCCTGTGTTCCGGGAAAAATTAAATCAATAATCCTCGACACACTTTTCAAAGAGCTTTCACTTATGATAGAGATTTATTTTCCAAAAGTCCATCGATGAAGGCTTAAATATTATAGCCATCCTAATGGAGATCTGCACTTGCAGCTCCAATAAAAAATTGGTCAGTCCCTGCGAATAATAAGCAAATTTCTTGAACATGTGTTTTGTGTAAAGTTATGGATCACATACCACCTCCAACATAGTTTCAGAAAAAAAGAACATATGTTACGCAATTTGTTATGTTGGTAAATTTCCCGGTCACCTCAATCAACAGAAAAAGCAAGAAGAACTGATTCATATATATTTCAGTAAGGCTTTCGAAAAAAGTCAGTCATGAGAAAGTATTAAAATACACGACAATGTAATCAGAGGTCAAACTTTACGATGGGTCAAATGTTTTGTATATAACTGTAGTAAGTTGTGATAAATATTAAAAAAATATGTATAAAAAAATATCCCAAAATGTTATATTCAACATAAAACATTTAGTGGTGTCGAATTGACATATTTCACATTGCGTAATTTGCCTAGTCACCGGATTCATAGAATTATCTCCCTTGACGAAGGATTTCTTGTTTTGATTTTTTTTATATCCCTTCTAAAAAAACAAATGATTATTGTATATGCATCTTAGTTTAGAAAATAATGTAAAACATCATGATTACTAAATCCAAACATAAAGGTGAGAAAGTACTTAGCAGTGCGCACTTTTCATTTTGACTAAAAAAGTAGAGCTCTACAGAAGTTGCTCTTGTGTCAATTTTTTGCAAATTTAGTTTTATTAACATGTCAATTGCGTACTGATAACATGGTAAATAAGACTTCGATAGATTCTCATTATTGTCAATAAGATGTACAGATAGTTCTAGCACTTAGACGTGTAGTCAATATATCTTGACAATCCAATTCCAAAGCTAGAGATATCTTTGTTCTTGGTCAGAATCTCGCTTCTTAGAGTAGAAAAATATTGCCCTTACAAAATTTTGTTAAGTGCAACAAGTTGGTCTTGAGTGTAGCTGCCTGTTTTAAAACTGTTACAAGACAGTTACGTGACGACAACACCTTTGGGAAAGTGGCATCAGGGAACACAAAAAAAAATTCAGAGCAGGACGAGTACAGTGTTCCCGCTACTGTGCATTTCTTGTGTTTTTGATGCAATAATTTCATGAAGGACGCATCAAAAAATGTTTAGCGTGTTTTTTATGATGCAGTCATAATCTACCTTAATTACTTGCCTTCATTCAGTTATTTCTTCTATTATTTCAGAGCTCCAGATAGCGTGCGTATCTGCGTAAAATACGCATAGAAAATCTAAAATACGCATCACTTTCAAAATCCATGCGTCAAAGTTACGCACAACAAAATGAAAATACGCTTGTATGTCAAAATTTAAGCGTGAAAGAATAGAAGTGGAAACATTTGATATTTAGAAAGAGGATATTTTTAGCATAAAAATCAATATATTTCCATTTTATTGCTTTGAAAACTAAAAATTCTGTTGTCAACATCGCATGTTAAAAACGAAAGTAACAGGAAGTACAGAAGGGAGATAACTCTCGTAGATCAACCTGTGAAATTAGCCAGCTAATCATCATAGGATTTAACATAGTATTGTTTGTTTAGGCATCTATTGACATGCTTATGCCTCAATATTATAACAAAAATATATTTTAATTTCTTTCACTTTTGTTGTTGGAACAAAAAAGACATGTTTTTCACCTGCAGTTTTGTACTCAATATTTTCGTACCCAGTATACAGTTACGGACAATTTTCTCTCAGACCAATGCCTTTTTAAGGAAAGATAAAAAAAATCTTGTTTATTTTTCTTTAATTCTAATTTCAACTATAATTGTTCAAACTGGAGTACATGATAAGGTACATGCCAGCAGAAATAAAGAAAGAAAATATTGACTCCTAGAATATAAAATAATTTCAGGGCTTCCACTAGTGGAAGTTTGGGAGTCATTTACTCCTTCATTTTGGCTTGTGACTTCCAAAATCTAATACTTTTCCTTCTTTACCTATAAAATGTGACTTCCAATATCAGAGATTTTGAAGTCTGACTTCCAAATTTTGAAAATGGAAGCCCTGATAATTTTGCTGTGTATACTCTGGAAGTCTGACTTTACAGAGCATGTTTTGTACTGTTTCACATTGAATCAGTATCTTATTTGTAAAAGTTTTTCTAAAAAAAGAAAACAAACAAACAAAAACAATATTGTAAGATTAATTTGTTTATAAAAAATGCAAAATGCTTTTTTGACAGATTTTACCCCTTAAGTTTTTCAGAATTTGCATTTTACCCCTCACTCTAGATTTTGAGGGGTAAAAAACCCTTGGCCAAAAAAATTATCTGGAGCTCTGTATTTGTGCCAACCCTTTTAAATCAGCTATTATTGTTTGGTTATCCGAAATGACCATCCCAAATTATCTATTTCCTGTAACTGCAGGTATGTATAAATTGCTAACAGATTCTGTGTAGTTATCGGCACAACATTTAACTGTTCTACAATCAGTCAAGGTATCCGGGATCTAGACATGTACAATCTAGTTAAACGAGCGATTTGTGCATGCAGACATTTTTCTCACAATGGTAAACACACCACGAAAGATAGGGGCTTCAATCAGAGACATAGATACAATGTTATCTACAACTATGCTTTAGTGGCCAAAATATCAAAGTTTCTGCAATAAACAGAATTCTGACAGATTAAATGTTTTAATGCAAATAAGGCCTTGGTTATTCCTTAAAAGATTTTTTGTTTACAATCGCAAAAAGTGAGAAATTGAAGTTAACATGAGAAATCAAAATTCAAACAGTTCTGAGATTGACTTTAGTTTTTTTTAAAAATTTGATCCTTAATAATTTCAAATGACCACAAAGGGTCACAAATGACCCCCAAAAAATCTAGTCTGGCAGAAACACTGCCAGTAGCTTCAAATTTTTACTCATTCTGCATCCTATGCTACTTGTCCTAGATTTTTGGCATGATTTTCAAGATAAACTTCGCCAATGCAATTGACCTCTAAAATTTCTCATAATCAGTTGTTTACAAAATTTAACAAACCAAAACTGGACAAAGCTTGTGTTTGAGGTTATGAAATGAGAATAAATGATTAATCACACAATTTATTCAGCATTGCCAGGCACATTCCAGTCAAATCTGTATCCAATTAACAAAGCGTTTAGAGCTTTATTGTTAAAGTGCGCAATTTAAATATACATAACCTAAGACACAACCCTTGTTTCCGGTTTTCAATTGTTAAATGTCAACAGACTGATTAGGAGAACTTAAGAGGTCTATTACATCAGCAAATTTCTGCATACTACAATTTTGTACTGGATAGATAAAAAACTACTTAAGTTCCTACTATTTATTGTTGTATTAATGTGGTGGCATAGCATTTTTTCACAAATTTTATCCAATCTTGTTTTCCAGATGGACTATGTGGGTCTTCCAGAGAGCAGTTACATGCAAGAATTGGCAGGGAGCTGTTCCTCTATACACAGAGGCGTGAACTTGGATGTAGAAATTTTTGTTACACTAATCCTCATAGGATTGTAGATGACTATGCATCGCAACTGATGCCACAGCTGTTTCAGGAGAAAGAATACCGTCTCGGACAAATAAATAAAATATTTTCTTCTCAATGGCTCAATACAAAACAAATTGTATTCGGTACAAAATGTAATAAGGTAATGAGCATTTTGGTGTATTTAAAAAAACATTCTTTTAAAGGTCATATAACTTTACTAGGCTTCAAAAATGTTTTCATTAAAAATCATACACATGTATTTAGCCATGTGAGTTTATAATGAGTAGTGTAACTGTAAATATTAATATATCAATATGCAATGTTAGTCATTTAAAAAAATCTTCGGATTGAAAACTGACAAAGAAATCATAGGAAACTTACTGATTGATATTTTTTTCAGCTCTGTGATAAGCTTAGAACAGGGTTTTCATTTTTATTTGAGGCAACAGATGCTGTAAAGAAAACAACTGATTTTGCCAAGGGTCAAGGGTGATACTGTAATATACAGGCTGAAAATACAACCAATTTTAACAGCATTTTAATCAATTGTTTGGATCGCCAATCAATTAATAATTAAAACCCTGTAAGCATACAGACATGGTAATCTGTTATTATTTTCAGATACATATCTACATGTATGAACATAAGTGAGACACTGGTTATTGTTAAGTTTTTTTTTTTGTTACAGTTAGAAGTACTGGATTTAAACACAGGTAACCTGGATCATATACCCTCTTTAAAAAGTAGTAATAACAGTGTACCTGCTAGTTGTCCATGTGGTATTCACAGTATTGCTGTCAATCCGTCAAAAACTCTTCTTGCCACAGGAGCTGAAAATACTAATGATTTAGCTGTGTATAAATTACCTACATTTGATCCAGTTTGTGTAGGAGAGGTAAATATTATTATTGTTTTTATGGCTATAAATGTCAAGAATTATCCCTATTTAGTCATGTATTAAAGAGCTGGGTTACAGATCTGCAATTTGAGAATTTGATTCTTTGGCATTTTGCATTGACAGTTTGATTGACATTATATTTTCCAGCCATTCATCCTCTTCAATGGTTTCATCACACTTAGTTGAATGACACTTAGTGGCTTGTTTTCAATGTAATGTAACCATTGTATACTTCTTTTTACTTCACATGTTTAATATGAAATGGCATATGGTCATGAGTCTTATGTATTTTTAAAGGGTGGCTAAGATTGATTTGGCAATTATTTTGCCCTCACATATTCAGGGATTTGCCTCTGTCTGTCTGTCATCCTGTCTGTAGACTGATAAAACAATGAGTTGTAAGGGCGTTTGTGTCCTATGGACATATTTTTTAGTTTTGTTTGTTCTGTAAATATGATGAATCAAAAATAAAATTCATAAAAATAATATCTGTGGGTCAGAAACAGAAAAGATATTCCCTTTATGTTTATTACAGCATTATCCTACACATCTTTGCCTTTGTTTTTATTTCCTATAAAGTGACATAAGATATAAAAAAGAATAAGTTTATTTGAGGGATTGTGACACATTTGTATATGACTCTTACAAATTTTCATATAATGCCACATACTATCAGAATTATTTTATTTACATAAAACAAAATTGAAAGTTTAAACCTATATTTAGTTTAATACAGAATTTACTTTAGTTCAATTGTGTAGAAAGCTATAAGCTTATATCTGTTCCTGCAACCATTTTGAATTAATACTGGACAGTGAGTGTAAAGTTTCTTGCTCAAGGAAACAATGGCTTGTCTCTTACAGGGTTTAAACACATGCAGCTAGCGGTCCTTAATTTACTAGTCCGATGTGTAGCCACTTGGCCATACCACCACCTTTAAAACCTATCTTTCTTGTCACTTACCTGCACATGTTGCATTGTAGGTGAAATCATATACATTGATACATTATAATCTGTTTTATTCTATTCAGAGAGCACACAATGACTGGATATTTGATATTTGTTGGCTGGATGATGAATTTCTTGTAACAGGTACAATAGTTATATATATTTTTACAAGACTTGCACATGCTTATAGCATATACATGTATAAGAGTTACAGATCTTTAAAGCCATTCCCTTTTATAGTTCAAAAGAAGAGATATCTTATTTCTAAGCTAAAAGTGTATAAGTTTAAAAAGTAAGATAAATTTGGTTTAGATCAAAGCCAGAATTGAAAGTCAAAACAGAAAAACACATATACCTCACTATCCGCACTTTATGTGTTACAGATTATTGATGAATAGCATGGTTGTTCCTTTTTCTTATCAATTTTCCTTGACACAGCATTTAATATATTATGTCAATAGAAAATTATAGTTTTCATTCATGTATGAATCTGTATAGCCTTGTCTAAAACCAATATTTTACTTACTGGTAATGAAAAGTAGACATTAACTAGTTTGGTCTTCCATAACTTTATATGTCACTTTTATTTTGATATTGTGCGACAGTAGAGCTAACAATATTATAAAACCTGTTTGCTGAAGTCTTTTTAGCTAGACATTTACAAAATATTTTTTAAAGACCTTTTTCTTAAAAGACATTTTTTCACTGGAGAGAGTTTTCCATACACTCATGACAACCAGCATTGGCATACTCAACTGCTAAAGAATGGTAGCATAGTGGTTAATGTGTTTGCTTCTGAACCAAGGGATCATGGGTTGAAGTCTTGCTTGGTACTACTTAGTATTAAAAAGCAGATTAGAATGCGATTGATATAATTTGCACAAACTAATTTTACAAAAGAGCTAACATAAATGTGATGGAAACTATCTGATTAAATGAAGATTTTTTTATTATTTCTAAATTAAGATGATAATGAAATGAAATAAAAAGTATTCAATGATATTTCAAGGTTCCCGGGACAGTCATCTGGGATTATGGAGAATTGATGGCTTTGATGACGTTGATTCATCACCTCTAAATAGTTTACAGGTACCTGAGTACAGTATTACATCTCCTCTCCTTGTCAAGGAATGTACGGACGCACGGAAAGTACGAGCTCTAGCTTACCATGATGAGAGAAAGGTATTATATTTGTTAACAACAAAAGCTTCACATTTATAAAGACATTTTGTTGTTTTACAACATGTACATGTAAGTAGATATCATATTTTTCAGTCTGTTAAGTATTTAAGACGCTTTGATTTTGTGTTTTCAGAAATGCTATTTTTTTGGCTCTATGGCTTGATAAGAGTGAAAAAAGTTGTAGTTCAGTTTAATCTGAACAGTGCATCTGTATTGGAAACAAATGTACTTAGTGTCTTAGATTTTATGTTTAGGGGCCATTATGGCTGAGCCAATGAGTTTGTAGCCTTTGGGTCTCTTGTCTGTCAGCAGTAAGTTTGAATCCTGCCAGAGACAATGGATTCTTTTGTGTTAGAAAAGGAGAAAAACATTTCATGTGAGATGAAATTAATGTAAAATGTTTTATTTTTGCAGGAATTAGCAGTTTTGTCTTTAAATGCATACTTCCATATATGGGATGTAGAGACATTTAAAATGGTAAGTAATAGCTTCTTGTATGTTTAAATTCAAAGAGTGATATTTAAGTTGAAATAATTAATTATGTCTACATTTGCTAGTAAAATTACCACTTATGTTAAAACCTCATATATTGCTGCCTAGTTGTACAGGTAAGATAGAATGCATGCTTGTAAGTTTCTTTTGCTAATGCAGATATTCTGTATAAGTGCAATTTACAACATAAAAGTTACTAAACCCAACAAAAAAAGAGGAAAAAATTAAGGTTATTTCAAAAAATTAAAATACTAAAAATGGTCAACAAGGAATGAAGAATATGGTCAAGCTGCTCATAATCCAAAGCAAGCTGACCACTATATTGTTGACATTTTCCTCTTGTTATTGCTGTAACTTGCAAGTGTTGAAACAATAAGGAAATCTTCCATCAGTAAGTTTATGTGTGTACGATTTAAACTGATCCACTTCATTTTCTTGTGTTTAATTTATTGTATATTTTTAAACATTGGTATATAGTTTTTAACTTGACTATTATGTTTAAATAAAAGGGAGAGCAATGCTACTCACCCTGATATCTCATGGACAACTCTTGTTAATATATCTAGTTTGAAGTTGACCCAGTAACACAAGATCTCATTTTTTCTTGTAGGTATATAATCGTAAACTAAACAGAACAGTAATAGGAGAATGTTTGTATGGTTGTGTGTCAAAGCCTAAGACATTGTACGGCTTATTGGGTCACAGTCACATGTTTAACTTGGTAGACCCAAGATGCCCAAACATACTCTTACTACAATTATTTCTAAATACAGAGAGGGTGGTGAGTGAGGTTGTTTTTATTGTATTTTGTATCATATATCTTACCTATACAGGGATTTTTTTTAAGCAATTAACATGAAATTAATAAGGTTAAGAGATTAAGTTAGACAGTGTCAAAAAGTAACCATTTAAATTGGTGTTTTGGGGTCTGGGATTATGCAGAAGGGAAAATTAGAAGATTATTTTGCTATATTAAGCACAGCTCTGTTTCCATAATTGCACCAGTATTATTTTGTCTGGAAAATGATTTTAATTTAGATTTTTTAGTTTTCTTCAGTAGTGAAAATTTATAAAGATGCCATGTATTTTACTGGACATATTTTAGCTGTGACAACTATCATTCGACATTGTACATTATGCCTTTCACAATGAAATAAAATGTCTCTGAAAATGTTAAAATCTTAGAATTTAAAACAAATTTTTGTCAAATATTGATATTGCTTTTAAATGTTATAAGAGTTCTTTATCTGTTTTTTTATCACATGAACCATGGCTCAGGAGTGTACTAAAGCCATTTTATAAAAACAATATTTCTTTAGTGTAATTTGATGCAATGCGACGTCTTTTGCCTTATACAAACATAGTGAAAATGCATGCTAATGTTAGTGTTACACGGTAAAGTATAGGCACGTCAATGAAAAAATAACTTTTTTTTTTTACTGTAAACTGAATTTATTTTGGATATGTGATAGATTATTATTTAATATTCAACCAGAGGCTCACATAATATGATATTAATAAGCTTGTTAAATAAATTTAGTATTGAGCTTACACTCATTCAATATGCTTTAATATATTACAGGTATACGATCTGTTAGTTTCCATGAAGATATTATAACTATAGGTACTGGTACAGGCCATATATTATTCTTTGATCTGAAAGGAGGGAAATATCTTGAAAGTGGATGCGGTTCATTCTTGTGGCATTGGTTTCTTGGCCCAAAGGTTTGGCTTGGTAAAGTAAATAGCATATGTTATTTAATATGTTATATTCCCTAAAACCCAAATTATCCAAAAATTGGGCATTTAAGTAAAAAGGGAATGGTGTTTAATTTGAAATTTGGCCTGCTATCTGCAACTGATTCTATCCATTTGACCAGTGCTGTTCAGTATCAGCTGGCAAGACCATGCATGTGACCATAATTAGAAAATGATATGTTCTGTGGTTGTGACACAAGAAGGGGTTTAAACCTTCGATTCCTATGTTAAGAGATCTGAACCATCAAGCCGCCACTTTTATGACTGTTGGTTTTGAATGAATAAGTAATTGCACGTTGATGATAAATGACTTAATGTACATACATTTGATCCATTAGAGAAATTTTCTTCATGTGGCTATGCAGCTATTTCTTTTCTCTGTAAAAACTTTCTCGTAAGCACATTTTTAACAAAGATAAAAAACTGCTTAAACATTGGGTCTTTTTTTTCAGTTACATGATGAAAACTATATGGGATTCTTCATGCATCAATATAACCAGGAATTTCCGAATGCAATCTATACACACCAATATGATGACTCTGGTACAAGATTATTTGTGGCTGGTGGACCACTACCTGCAGGATTATGGGGAAATTATGCAGGATTATGGTCTTAGCATTGCTAAATGCTAGATTTTAAACTTTTTTTCTTATATACATAGTGAAGTACAAACTTGTTGTTGTTGTTTTTTTTTCCATGCATCATGCATCAGTGTTTGAGAAAGATGAACTTGAAAGAGGAAGTAACATTGTTTTTGTTGTAATGAACAGGTTAATTATGCAGTTGAGTAGGAAAGTCGAATATGATTAGTGAAAATTGCATCAAAATCATTTCAGTTTGTACCTAATACTTACCACCAAAACATGCTTGAATATTTGATGCATATATGTTATGAAATTTTTACAGCTAAAACTTCTTAATCTTCCACTGACATTCCTTAAATGACTCCTTGGCCACAACATTAAATTATTAAAAAATGAATACAAATGATAAAGGAAGCAGTGTTTGTGATCCGATTGCAATAATTACAACACTTCAGGGTTGTGGTATTGTTGCACAATGTTAACTAAAGGTGCTTATAAAAAATGAAAGGATTCCAAATTAAATTTTATCAAAAATTAGTCAATTTGCCTTTTTATTTGTGTGTGTAAATATTAACATGTTTTTTTTCAAATGGAAGGGCATTAGCATACGAAGTAGAAGTTTTGCAAGATTATGTTCCTGCTTAAAAATAAAACAATCTATGGTTGGCAATTTATGTCTGCTAACTGTTCAATATTTATTCAGGCTGTGTACATAATTTTTTGTTGAATTTGATTTATACAACTCTATAGAGTGTGGCATTGAATCTTATTTTTTGTATAAATTTTAAAGCGGATTGGTCTACAATGAGCACATTTATCATAATTATTTCAAATATTGATAAGAGTAAAAGAAATGTATGATTAGGAAATTCTTAAAAACATATTGCTTGGAAAAAAATGTTCAAGTTCTATATGATTCAGTATGAACAATATTATGATGAATATTAATATTATGATGAATAGTATTTTGTTCTAGGATACTTTTTAATCAGCACTATAAAGATATGTAATATCGGATTATGTATCTCACACTTGCTGAAAGCTTCCATATACAATTATTTTGTGGTTTGTTGTTACATATGATACTAAATACTACCAACATAATTATTTATGGTTCTACAGACCTTCCATTATAGACCAATTCACTTTAAGGTTGAAGTTCTGCAATAACTATCAAGGCTACATGTCAGTTATTCATAAATATATTTAACTGATACAAATTTATTAATAAATTGAAATACCATAATTTTGGTCTGAAATTAGATAGAATAACAACACTTGGAAAACAAACACTAAGACTTTAAAGCAAGTTTAAGTTTCATATTAGTGTTGGAAGTCAAATTACCTAAAAAAGTCTATGGGGATGAAGCAGGAGATAATATCATGAACAGTAACTACAAAATCTGTTTTAATACATGCTTTGAAGAATGAATCTGCATATCATGCAGTAAATAATATTTTTGAGGTATTCCCCTAGTTGCATATATACTTTGTATCATTTGTTAATTTTTTTGTGTTTTCTTAAAGTTTGTACATTTTGTTATATTATTGTTGACATTGATACTATGTTAGTCTATGTACATGTATATTTAATTAGAATTGAAATCAATAATTGTTATTGGGTCATTTAAATGAAGGAAATGTTTTCCAAACTAACTTAAGTAATACAAAATAGGTGTTCATCTTTGTCGAGGAATTGGATATATTTTTGTGTAATTTGTATCGCTACTTTATTACTTGTGGGTCAGTTGCCATGTATTAAGAATGTCTTATAAATTTTCAGATATTGTTTAATTGTGTTATTACTGCTGTGAATGTTATATGTTTATGAGAATTATTTCTTGTATTTAATAAAAAATTGGAACATGATATTGTATGTCCCAGATGAATTGCAGCTTAAACTTTGAGGCATTCACACAGTGTTAATGTTTGTTCATAAAATTGCTGAAAAAAAAATGTTTAAAGATAGCTGTACTTTTATGTCACTTTTGATGAAATATTACCATTAGCTCAATTAGTTTAATTGTTACACTGATGTAATAGACCTACTCTGGAATTAAGAACCTTTTTTGGTTTTTCCTATCTAAGACATAGGTACAAACAAACTTTAAGAGTTACAGCTTTAAAAATAAGTGCAACAGGTTGACTTATATATTGTGACGGGTAGTGCACCGTGAAGCTGTAAGGTAAAAGTTTGTTTGTATCTACAGATTAGCTGGGAAAAACCCACATTTGCCGAGATCCAGATAACATCTATAAGGTTGGTGGGAAAGTATTAAAAGGCCAGAAAAAAAAAAAACTGCTCATGTATAGGGAATAAAATAGATATTCAGATAAGAGTATAGTCTAGAAAATGTCATTGAATTGACACTCCATATATATGAATTTTTAGATTTGCTCCCTTCCTGTTGGGTCCTTTTAAAGCTTTGCAGTTTTATTTCACCTACATTTATTATCACCTCTAGATTTAATTTACATTTTTCAAATATTGGTATAAACTACAATTGTACATGTGCCTCATTTAAATTTTTTGGATTAGTTTCTAACATTCATATTTGGAGCAGTTATTTTCTTTATTTTGACATTTTAAGATTTGCAGTGTTAAATATGTTACTTATCATTATTATTTTTTGTTATTTTTAATATTGTTTTAGCTTGAAGGATGTAAAATATTCATTTGTGTCGAGAAAACTTATTGTATAAAATGTGTACATAGCATTTTGGTTTTTTAGAATTGATCACAAATTTACTGCATACCCATTTTGTTTTTCCATGTTGTTACCCAGTTTTATTTGGCATTTAAGCTCACCTGGTACAAAGTATGCTGTGATCATTAACGGTGCCCTCTGTTGGTCACATGATTGAATTAACTTATGTGTATATTGAAGTTTTGTCAATCTATAAAGCAAAGATTTTCAGAACTTTACCATTAAGAATTATCAAGTTGTCCCAATTACAAATTGAACAAATGTTAAGTTTAGTTTTTCATGTTGTTTTGAAATTTGACTATAATTTTCTGTGGCGGAGTAGGTAAGGTCATTGACTTCAAACCACTTGCCACTGTGGGTTTGAATCCCGATAGAGACTATTTATTTCATATGAGGAAGCTCATAAACTTACTAGTTTACTGAACGTCGGTGGTCCTACCCAGGTGCTCATTCATGCCTAAAATAATGCACAGAGAGGCACCTGAGGTCTGGTCTTCCTCCACTAATAAAGCTGGAATGTCGCCATATGATATTAACAGTATTGGTGTAACGTAAAAAGTTAAAAAAACAACTTATAATCCTCTTTTAAAATTTTTAGCTACATTCTTTAAATTTGGACCACTGGTCATTTTAAGACTTGACAAATGAATATTGCCCATTTACTTACTTCTACATTGTAGAAATGACAACTTTGTCCAGCAATAACTTCCAGGTGAGCGGTTTTAGGTCATAATTGCCCTCTTGTTTCTATTTCATAATTAATTTTTTTTTGTTTTACATACTGCGAATTAAATTGGTGAGATACAAATGTTTGAATGTGTTTTTTATCAATAAAGTCATTTAGTCAGTGAACATGGAACATAATTGCTCATTTTCCCTTTAAAATATGTTCTGCCAATTCTTAACACCTCCCAGATGTGCTCTAGACACGTTCACTGAAATAGCCGACAGTTTCATAATATTAACGTTGAAGGAAGCTTATGTATTACACCAACTTGTAAATTTGTTATTTTTCACGTTAGGTCAGTTCAGTTGTTAAGATCTGTATGTAAACTTGTTATTTAAAAGCGGGAGCCTTCGTTAAAAGTTTGGAATAAGAAACATATTATTAACAAATGTCCTCCATATCATACTTGATAAAAATGATGACAAAGAACAATTATCTTTAGTCTTAAGTAGATACCATTTATTGTAACAAAGAAGAAAAGTGCACAAAATTCATAATTTTCAAGTATAAAATAATCAAATGATTAATTACCAAGTTATTGGCAATTATTGTGATAATCAGTGAAAATTAAAAAGTGTGACCAAAAAGGCCAAGGCCATAAGTGAGTGAAGGGTCCTTGCGTAAACGGTGGTGTCTGAAAATGTTACAAAAAAAATCCAAGAGAATTTCATTAATTAGACCCAAACGGTCAAGGTCTATTATAGTTAAAGGTCATATCTATATATTTGGTAGCAAGTCTTGTTTTTTCCAAGTTTAAATTAAATCCGCTTATAAATAACAAAATTATCACAATTTCACCAAACTTCAATAATTTGATCTTGACAGTCAAGGTGATTTAAAGGTCAAGGTCAGTTCAAAAAGGTCTTGTCCAAATGTTGTTTTTGTCAAAAGTATGAAGATAAATAGATAATCCATTATTAATTACCAATATACACATATATTTGCACATAACTAACAGTTTTGCAAAATTTTATTATTATTTTTATCATTGTAATGAGACTTAAATAAAGTAAAACTTTTATCGGTATAATATTCTTTAACTGGTTTGATATTAATATTGCAAATACACTGTACTAAATTTTTTTTCTTTTCTTTTGAGTGAGATATGGAAAATATTTTCACTAAACAAATAAACTTCCATATATTTTCACAAGCTGGACTGGCGAGTGAAATATATATCATTTTATCATGATTAGTGAAAATATATTCCATATTTTGTCTTCAAAAAAAGAGAAGTGTTTTGTGAATACACATACTTGCTAAGCAGTTGCAATTGTACAGCATGCAGTAATAAATTGGTTATTTAAAAGTGCATGACTCAGTTCAAATTTAATATGCAATTTATAAGAACCATTTTGAATTGTCTTGAAAAGCATATTAACCAGATAATTTCCGATGAGGAAATGAAAAGCTGCAGCTACTGAATGTAACAGATTCAAGCTAAAAGCATGATTAAACAGTGACAAAGTTTATCTTGGGGGAGCTTTAAACATTCTTCACACCAACATCAACCATGTATTCTCTATATTCACCATAACAAAAACAGCAATTACTTTATGTATTTATCACAATATTCCAAGTCATTTTTAGTACATTATGCAGGTCCAATGTACATGTAAATGTACAGCACAATGTCTCAATGAGAAATATCTTATTTCAAATTGAATAGTAGTTACAGCTGCACATGAATGCAGACAAGGTTTAGTTAACACAAAGTGAGAAACTAATAAGAATTTAACATTGTGATACTTGACAAAACAGGAAGTACCAAATTGAACAGTAAATTATATTATAATGATTAAATTGATATTTCCAAAAGAATGGGACAATTGTTAACAACAAAACCACTGTTGTACAGCGTCCACCGAATATAGCCCCCAAAAACTATGAAAATGAAAGTAAAAAGGTTTACGTCGAGTTCACCCAAGGTAATGTTACAACTTATTTCTCCATCATAACTTGATTGATTTTTCCAAACTAAACAATTTTGTGAAGCTAAATATGTCAGATTTTAGAGCAGTATTTGCTTTTTTCTGCAAATTGAATACTTCTTGTTAAATTGGCGATAAATTGTACCGTTTCGTTGACATTTGCGAAAGATGTTGATATTTACCTGTAAATCCCGTCTAAAAGGCATTTGTTGCATCAAAATACGTATTTAATATAAAATATAAACTTCTTTCTACTAGTATGTGAGTGGTCATCCATCAACTTGAGCTGCTTTTAGCAAAATTTGCTAAAAACAGTCTTTCCGTGTGTACAGAGTCTAGCAAGAAAACCAAATTAAAGTGAATGGGGTAAATAAGTTTAATGTACAGGGTTTAGTAGAATGTTACGGTGTCTAGCAGTCACATATAGTCTTTTATGAAGTGACAATCATTCTGATGCAAAAATGACACAAGATATTGATTGTTCACTTCAATAATTACTTAAATTCATACTATATAAAATAAGAATGTGTCATTCAAGGTAGCCATTTGCTTTCATACAAAAAAGTAGGACTTTATTTAGATCAAAACAAATATAGTCAATTCATATATTATTTTATAATAATATGTTTTTGTTCTTTTTTATGTTGTTTTTGTGAGAGGAGGCTAGCTTAGACCCACAATCACATGCTTACACACTTAGCGCATGAATATAATGCATATAATGGTCTCATTGGCCTCCTGTGCATTATCTCAATTAAAATATAAAAATGATTGCATATTCTTTGGTATCATTCAATGAATTACTGAACTCAAATCAAATAAGTCACCATAATATTTAAGGGCATGACTGGTGACATGTCCGGGGTCCGTACTCTCAGAGCCTGAAAGGGCGGATGGGCCCTCATTAAGCATAGAAAAGAAGAAGACAGGTCATAATTGATCAGGCACTTAAAAGATTATGCACGAGCGTCATTTTCTACAAATTATGTTGATGTAAAGAATTGATGAATTATATTATATATGCAATAAAATATTATTAAACTTATTGTTAACAATGCATAACTTGAACATGATTTGATATTGTTTAAGACAAATTATAGAATTCTACACTAAAGTTGTCAGGTTGGTACCAATCTATAATGATTCTACATTTTTCCTCAAAGTCACGCATTAAAAGTGGTCGAGCACACGACGGAAACGGTTTACTACCATTGATATTCATGCTACGGATAATGTTTCTTAATTAATGCACCATTTTTATCCTTTTAAAAATGATAAAATGTTTCACTTTACGATCCCTGCTCCTGGCATATATCGTTATTTCTTCATCAGCGTACGTGTATGCTCAGCTGGTACTTTATTTAGTTTATTTTTGAAGAAAATATAGAATTCGTTTACCTACTACACCCCGTACACTTGCTAACAGTGTTCCATCTACACCCAGTACAATACCGTGCTAGACTGTACAATGGCAATGTCGTTTTTCGCAAATTTTGCTAAAAGCCGCTCGAGTTGAAGAATGAGCACTTACATACAAGTAGAAGGAAGTCTATATATTGTAATTAATTCGGGTTTCAATACAACAAATGACTTTTGGACCCGATTTACTGGTAAATATCAACATCTTTGCAAAACTCAACAAAAACGTAATAATTTATCGCCAATTTAACAAAAAGTATTCAATTTGCAAACAAAAGCAAAAACTAGTAGTGCTCTAAACCTTGACATATTTAGCTTCATAGAATTGTTGAGTTTGGAAAAATCAATCAAGTTATGATGGAGAAATAAGTTGAAACATTACCTTGGGTGAACTCGACGTAACCCTTTTTACTTTCATTTTCATAGTTTTGGGGGGCTATATTCGGTGGACGCTGTACAACAGTAAAAACGTTTAAATCCAAACTGGGATTTGAACCCAGGCCTTCTGTTACAAAGTAACAGCTGTTCTACCATTAAACTATTTGGATGCAAAACTGTTACTTGTTGTTACAATCAACATTTAATTTTGTTTAAGACTTGTCAATCAATAACTCAAAAACATTGAAAATAGTGTTTGAAGTTAGTTTCTTTCTTGGTTATTACTAGTCACTTGTATGGTAAAGTTACAATGTACATAACTGAAACATAACTTTCGTTTGAGGCATATGGTTCAATGAAAACTAGAATTTATTGTAATGCAATTAAAGTTTACATTTTATTATTTTGATTAACCCTTTAATCTTTTACATGTCCAGGAACTGGATTGATGTATTGATATTTTTTCATATTGTGTCTGCCATACCTTAAGGACTGCGACGTAGTCTCTTGTGCGTCTGCTGCTCATGAGGACGTAAACAAGAGGTAGTTGTTTCGTGCAATCGCCGCTCCTTACAAAGGCATGGATAGAAA